GCACAGCGCCGTGAGCGGGGTGGCGTCGTCGGCCGGGTTGGTGATAGTGGCGGCGGCGGTGTGGGCTGCCATGGTCGAGAGAAGAGTGGCGTGCCCCCGGGAGGGCCTTTCAAGCTGTCATTCGAGATTGTCGTGGTTCAGCACACGCGGAACTGAGGTTAAGGCGGAGTGACAATTGTGCCGGATACACGTAACAGAGATGCAAAGAAAGGAGATGTATCACCGTTACCAAAACATTGTTGTAGCCGTAGGGCAGACGCAAGGACTCCCACTCGCTTGTGTCCGTTGTGGTGAAGTTTTTCCAGGATACCTAAGATCCGAGTGGGAAAAAAATTGGCACTTTGTCACCGATCGCGCTTGATGAAATCATACCTCGGGACCCGCCCGCGAGGTGGGCCGCATTTGCCCGACCCAGGGGCAAGTCGCTGCATCTCACAGGTGCAAAGATAAAAATCAATCGAGACAAGCAGCAAGCCGTAACAGCGCTTGAGGCAGGAAACTGCCGGATGGTAAACAAGGAAATTACATCGGGTACGGAAAACAATGGCTACAAACCGATCATTGGGCAGCGAACCGAAAAAAAGAACACGAAAAAAATGTATGCACCCAACGCGGGACTCGAACCCGCAGCCTTTGGATCGCCTTCCTCACCATTGCTCATCACTGATGCAAGCGGATATTAGAAGTCCAACGCTCTACCATTGAGCCAGCCGGGCCAATTAAACTTCGTTGTGGGTCATGGAGCCGTGATTCGACTCATCATATATGTACCCCTCCCAGTGGGAAGGGATCGGGTCGCATGCCTGGAGCTGGCACAAAGACCGTCTAACCCCATCCCAAACCCCGACCAACAAGTCACTTTCAAATTGCCAGTTACAACCGTGATTCCCATGGGTAAATAGAAGATCGAGCTCGGATTTGGCAGGATGGATTTGTTTTATTTATTTTTTTTTTCTCTGGTATTCCAGATACGTAAATGTTTAGCTAATCCAGCTACGAGAGAGCTTACACACAAAAGAGCAAATATTATCCAGAGACTGGACAGTGTCAAAAATGCCAGCGTCAAGCTCGCCGTGGTATGTGAAGGCAACAGATTAAATGGACAAGGAAATAGGAACGCGGAGAAAATTTCCAGTACTTGGTACGATCAAAAGGAGCAAAACTCCAGTCAAATACAGTGAGTTCTTGGAGTAACTCAAAAGAAGATCAAAGAAGAGTAGCCAGAATAGAGCAAAAGGTGATAAGAAAATATTGGAGCAGGTATATTAGCTATGCAACGCTGACTTGAGCGCTGATGGCAAGTTTTTTCGCCTCGCGACATCATCCCGACCCTCGCCCTCCGCGGCCATACCCGCCCGCTTTCTTTTCCTCACCTTAGTCTCTGCAGACTATATTAACCATGACACAAGAAAGGAAGAAAAAATTCACTGCGCCACCAAAAAAAAGTCAAAAAAGAAAACCCAGTTGAGGGGACAAGAACTAAAGAAAACGATGCTTTCGTGAGAGGGATATTTTGACAACGAAGGAGATGGGAAGCAATAGTTAAAATTTTAGCGAGTGCCACCAAGGGCGCTGATACGGGCACCCGAGGGGCGGTGGATGAGGCTCGCGGCGTGCTTGCCGACAACGCCCGGCACCTGGTGGTGCGACACGGGCATAGCCTCAGACTCCGAGGCGGGCTCCTCGAGGTCCTCGTCGTCCTCGACGATCTTGGTGGGGATGTCGTGGCCGATCACCCATTGTTGCGACGACCTCTCCGGGGTCGTCATGGTCGAAGCCATGGACATGGCAGTGCTCGACCTGTTGGGGATCAGGTCTGGAGTGGGAGGAATGCTCGAGGCACGCCCGGAGGGGTTCAGCAGCAGGCTGTCGTCGCCGACATCCGAAGCCGCCGATCGGCTACCGTCGTCGCTGGCGGCGACCGAGAGGCCGCTAGCCCGGCGCATGTGGGACTCGGTGCTCTCGATCTCGGCATCCTGAGCCAGGGCGAGGCCCTCGACAGCAGCTTGGCACTGCTCCGCGATGTTGCGGATGATATGCGCAATAGCGTCCGTCTTGTCTTTAAGGTGACGATCAGCCACGTCAGCGAAGCTGGAGGATGAGAAGCGCTGGCTGGCTTTTGACTGCCGGCCGTTGCTGCTCATGTCTGGAAAAAGAAAAAAGGGTAGGGTTAGAAAAAAATGTGCAGGACGGGACGGTGACGGGCTGGTTCGTGGTACTCAGGACGAGTTTGTGTGCACCACGAACGAGTCGGGGAGGGTGTATGATGTGTCTGATTGAGATGTAATGGAAACTGCAACTTACCATCTGCGTCGTCGACGTCTTCGAAACCGTTCTCGATCTCGTGGCTGAGATCGTCGGGCTTGGTCAGGGAGTTGACCAGGTGCTCCATGTGGTGGCTCTGGCCGCCGATGAGGCTGCGCAGGTGCAGCACCACGCGGCGCGCGTCGTCGCGCTGCCTCAGGATGGTCATGTTGGTGTGCTGCAGAGCGGCCAGCTCCTTCTTGTTGCGCTTGCGCTCGCGCTCCAGCTCCTCGGCAATCTCCTGCTGGAGCACCAGGGCCTCGAGGGCGTCGTCGCGCTGCTTCTCCGTGCCGGCCAGGCGCACCGACATGCGAGCCGCATCGTCCTTCTGCTGGTCGAGAAGAGTCGCCAGGCGACGGTTCTCCCTCTTGTGGCTTTCAATCTTGACCTTGAGATCCTGCGTCTCCTTGGTGAGGGTCTCGGCGAAGGCCTGGAACTTGAGGAACTGCTGCTTCCAGCTCTCAAGTTCTTCAACAAGGTAATTGTTGCGCTTTGTGACCTTGCCAAGCTCAGTGTCCATTCGGCCCTTGAGGTTGATGAAATCCTGCCAGGCCTCCATGGCGTCCCTGGAGTACTGATTCCTCTCACGGACGATCTCATTAAGGTGTCTCATAGAGACCTTGGTCATAAGGGGCTTCTTGACAGCCCCGCCAAAGACGGCCTTGATACCAGAGTTGCGGCCCATCTTCTCGCAAACGTGGTCCATGACAGCCATAACGGAGTCCTGATTCCACCACTCCGGGTCTTGAATGGACTCAACCTCGCCACGCATGACAATGATCTGGCCAGCCGGGACGAGCTTGCCACCACCGTACGCCGAGCGAAGGTGCTGGGGAGCGCCTGAAGGCGAAACATCGCCGTTCAGCGCTTGGGTCAGGCGGGTGACGAACTTGTTGCGCTGGCTAGGGTTCAGCGCCGTAGGCGGGCTGGACGTCAGAACAAAGTTGCGGTCCAGGTCAACAACGAGCGCATCCGTCGGCGCGGTGAAAAGCGTGCGGCACTCGGCGGTGATACCGAGGATGTAAGGGCCAGGCTCCTGCACCAGCTCCTTGGCGTGGCGGGCGTGCACAACCGGCACATACAGGCCACTCCACTCGTAGACACGGACGCAGAAACGGACAGTCTCGGCAGCCACCGTAAGCATGGCCGGGTAGTGGCTGACGAAAATGATACGGCGGGTCGGAGAGATAGCAGCCTCGATGACACCAACAATGTTGGGGATCGACAGACAAGAGAAGAGGGGCCACATGGCAAAGTTCTGGAAACCAGTAGGCGACGAGGGAAACTGGTAGCACAGAGCGTAGTCCTTCATGTCGATGCGGACCAGATCATTGAGCCTCGGAGCAGGGAAGCTGAGGATGCGTGAGACCTCCTCAGCGTGGAAGAGGTTCGTAGCCTTGTTCCAGTGAATCCACATGCCTCGTAGGTAGTCGCCCAGCAGGTTGTAGAGAGGGTAGCGGGACAGGAACGAGAGGCAGTAGGGGATCCAGTACGTCTCGTCGGGGTTGTCGTAGAAGTCGGACTCTGTCCTCTTACGGAGATCCCTGATGGTCTCGGCCCTCTTCTCGTCCGCGCGCGACCACACCCTCAGGCAAATGCCGTAGAGAGTATGCGACGAGTCCTGCTGCAGAACGAAAGCGTGGTGCACGCAGTGTGGCTGGCTGCGACCAGTGCAGATTTCAACATCGTGCGGGAAACAGGCCTATAAGCGAGAGCTTTTGTTAGAAACTCCTCGACACTGACCAGACCATCGCAGGCAGTTGCGCATCAAGTACCGCCGCGACTCGCGCCACACAGCCGGCATTCGACTTACCCTCATGGCAGCATGCAGCGACCGCGCAATCTCGTTGTCTTGCTCCAGCCTTGGGCTGCTGCCCAGAATTTCTGGCAGCCAGAACTGGCCAACGGCGCCCTTCATGTGGCCAATCTTCCCCTGGGCCGGGGGCGGTGCCTTCACCCACTGGGAAGGCTCGCGGCCCACACCGCAGACCATGTACGCATGTGTGAGGGTCTTTGGTGTCCTCTGCTGAGGCTTGGCATTCAGGCTAGAGGGGATCGGCTGGGTGATGCGCGAGTGGAGAGAAGATGTGCGGCTGGGTATCATCAGGTTGGAGTCATTGTTGTTCTCCCGGGTCGTCGGACGGCCGTCCCGGTCCCCCGTCCGGGGACGGGTGAAGGAGGTGTGTGCGGTAAGAGAGGGAGCCATTATGTCGGTGGTGTGGCGAGCGCGCTCTACGCTCGGGGTGCGTCAAAGAGACTCGGGTTTATGTGTGTCGAGTGACCGGTTTTTTCCAGCCCGGGGGGTCGTCCCACTGCAGTGAAGCAGTCGGAGCCAGAGGAAGATCAAGAAGCGAAAATCTGATCAACAGTGAGCCTGTGCCGGTGCTAGACAGGTAAACGTTGGTGCAGGTTATGTCGTGTTGAACGGCACGGTCGTCTCGAGAAGCTCAGCCCGAGAGTCGTTTGCCTTCACCCTTCGCGTCCAAGCCGGCTCTGCCAGGGAATTGGCAAAGAGTTGACCTGCGACAATGAATAAGGGCTCGTGGTCGAAGCGCAAGCGACGACCTTTCTCTGATGGGCGAGAGAAGAGGGTGTGGGAGGAGGGACAGTTCGAGAAGAAACGGAACAAAACCAGACCGAGGAGAAGGAGGGCAACCACAAAAAAAGGGACGGAGGCTCCAGAAAAGGAGTGGGCCAGCAGCGCGCAGCCGGTATCGAGGTGGGAGCGAGCGAAGGTGAGGAAAAGGGGATGCTTGCCAACGGGCGGGGGCGTCTGTGATGGCTCTGCGACGAGAGCTCCGAGGGTGCAGGGAGTGCACCAGGCCAGGGGATCGTGGGAAATAAAGGTGGAGCAAGCCAGGGTCGGTGGACAGGGGTGCAGGCTGTGGCAGCTCAACCCAGACACTAGGTGCGGTCCCCACTCGTTACGCGACGGGGACCTTGAATTGGGAGTCCAAACGGATGGGGCTTGCCGGTACTTCAGGCGATGCACCCGCCAATCAGGCCCGTCACTGTGCTGCGTGCAAAAGGAAAGATGCACTCGCTCTCGGACGACGCATGCAATTGCACTTGGTCGCAAGCGCAATGGAGGTGAATCGGGTGATAGATCTTGGTTGCGAGCGAGTGCCTGTGTGTGACCGTGACGGACAGCGTAGCGAGGCCTGGATCATCGGTACATCCAGTGTACAGTCAATCGCCCTGTCGATTGATCATTGATTGCTGCATGTTTTGGGAAAGTCAAGCTCAGCCAGAAGGCCTCGCCATCACCAACTTCGTCTCTTTAGGGTTCTGACACTGCAGAGGCTTTCTTAATTTGCCACGGCTCGTTCTGGAAAACCCCTTGGGCAGGAAAAAACCACAACAACAACAACAACAACAATAACAACAACGACTAGACGAAACAGAGCCAACC